CGGGCTGGAATAGGAAGCCCCGTGAGGCCCTGGAGTTTCTCTGGTGGCGAAGAGACCCCGGAGGTTGTCTGGCGGTGCCGTGGTGAAGGGTGGTCCCGCCTCTTTCCGCTGTGCCCGGGTGCGCCTTCCTGAGGTGGCTCCTGCCCGGCTCTGAGGTGGGTTGGTTCAGGTAGGGGGAAAAAAGGGCCTGAAAAACCTCGCCAAGCTCTAAAGAGCTGGGGGGAAGAAGCTCCTTCCAGTAGCTGTGAACTGTTAGGTAAAAACCTGCTGTGTAACTACGAGGCATAAAACAGCAAGAAAAATAATGCAAATACAATCTTTCTGTATTACAACCTGTGAGAGGTGTTTTACATGCCAGTGTCATGAGAGAACTCTTGCCATCAAAGAGTTTGTAACAGAGTAGCAAAATGCCATGGGAGAAATAACATCGGTTGCACCAAAAGCAAAACCGATGTCCTGTCAACTTGCATCTCATGTCTGTGTTCTCAACTGACCTCATGGCAGAGTTATTAAGAAGTTTTATGTCTTTTAGGAGACAAGTCTGTTCACAAAAGAAATGTAGGTATACCTGGAGTTGAAAGATGCTGTCGTGGTTTAACCTGGCAGGCAGCTAAAGACCACACAGCCATTTGCTCACTCCCCTGCAGTGGGATGGGGGAGAGAATTGAAAAAAAAAAGGTAAAACTCATGAGTTGAGATAAAGACAATTTAATAGGACAGAAAAGAAAGGGAAAATAATAATGACAAAAGAATATACAAAACAAGTGATGCACAATGCAATTGCTCACCACCCGCTGACCGATGCCCAGCCAGTTCCTGAGCAGCAGACCCCCGGCCAGCTTTTCCCTAGTTTATATACTGAGCATGACGTCACATGGTATGGAATGTCCCTTTGGCCAGTTGGGGTCAGCTGTCCTGGCTGTGCCCCCTCCCAGCTTCTTGTACATCTCCAGCCTTCTCAGTTGGCAGAGCATGAGAAGCTGAAAAGTCCTTGACTTAGTGTAAGCACTGCTTAGCAACAACTAAAACATCGGTGTGTTATCACATTATTCTCATCCTAAATCCAAAACACAGCACTGTACCAGCTACTAGGAAGAAAATGAACTCTATCCCAGCTGAAACCAGGACAGTATCCACCCCTTATTCTATACCATCTATGTCATGCCCGGGTCCTACACTTTCCAATACATTCCAGTTAGTCACCACCCCTTTTCCTGTCTTTTGATACATACACACACAGATACCATTCCCTTAGTCTATGGGCCATCCTATAAAATGTCCGTTGAGTTCATTTAGTCCATGACTTTGGGGTCCATCTGTCATAACAGTCCTTCAGGGCAGGAGAGATGGTGTATGGTGTGGGACTTTCTCAATGCTGAAGCCAGTTCTGGTTCCATCACTGCTGCACTTTGTTCGGTTTCATCAAAGTTCATTCTTCATTAATCTGGGTGATTCTTACTGTAATACCATTGATATGGCATATAGCAACCACAGAAGTGATGACATACAGTATTATACAGCAATTAACATCATACAATTTAATTTATTGGCTATTCTCACCCAAAATCAAATCCCCCTGAGGTACACATCGGACTTCCCCATCCTCCCACATCACCCAGGTCCTTGAGCAAAAGCAATCCCACGGATGGGTTTGCCTTTGCCCGAGGCAGGAATAACCCAGACTGTCTTCCCCAGCACATTTTTGATATGCACTACAAGGACTTTATCCCCCTCTACAGTACATAAAAGTTTTGACTGGGCAGGGCCAGCCCGATTGGCAGATCCCC